GAGCCATGGCCAAAGTGGGTTTGTTACAGGGCCTCCTTCCCCAGAGGGGCGCCTGGAGACCCATGAATCGGGGTACACTGCCTCTGGGTCTTAGAGGCCTGGCAGAGACCCCCCACGGCGCCCTGGCGGTGGGAAACAGTGTTTGCATCAGCCACGCAGCGGGCACCTAGGCTCTGGGCCTGCAGTGAGCTCAGCACAGAAGCCGGGAAACAGGGTGGGAGAAATATCTGTGTCTTGTTTTCCTGATCCTGTAACTGCCTGGCTGTGCGGCCTCTTGGCCCCGAGAGTCATCTTGTGCGGCCATCCTCGTGCTGTGTCCCCTCACCGTCTCCCAGGCACGGGCGAGGGCGCAGGGCTGCCTGCAGCTTCCAGTCTCCTTCTCTCCAGTACACGCCTGCGATGAATGGCGGGAGGAGGACAGGGCCCCATACATGCAGCTACCCCTACTCCCCAAACCCCACCCCCACCAGCCTCATGTGTGGATGGGAGGCCCTGGTTCTTTATCAGTCTCAGGGACCCTGAGGAACAACTGGCCTAGTCAGCGATCACAGGATAAAACCAGCCTATTCTTTTGCATTGTTCCCCTTTTTTTCCAAAGGAAGTGTGAGGGAAACCAAGGGGAATTTTTGCCCGTGATTTCCAAGGCAAAGGTCACGGTTCATGGCTGGCTGTTTCCAGAGCGCCTGGGGTTTGGGTCAGTGCGGATTTTTGTTTTTCGGGGGTTATTTTTGTGTTGTTGTTTTTAACCCATGAACAAAAGAGGCTGATATTGCCTTGAAAAAATTTTCCCCAGCTGCTTCGATGAACTGGTGGCTGCGTTTCTTTCGTGGGTTTTGGGGTCCCTCGGGCAGCTCTTCCAGATTTCACTGAGAATCAGTAGTGAGTGATCTGTGTCTGAAAAAGAGCAGTTCTGAAAACAGAGTTGCCTGTGAAATGTTAAGGAAGGAGAAGGTGACAAACGAGAAGGGTGATGGAAGGGTGCTGGGTGACTCTGCCGCCGGCTAAAATACGACAGCCTGGATTTCAGGCGGGCCACGTGGGTGCTCGAGAGCCTCTTGCCTCCCATGGGTGAGAGCGAGACGGCAAAGGGAAGGGTGCCTCTCATTCCCTCCATCATTTAGAATCCTGGGCTCCTCAGCACTTGTCCCTTGCAGCACACATAGATGACGAATCGGTGGGAAGGAAGGCTTGCCAGTACATTCACGGTCATAAATAAAGAAGTTGTACAGGTGTACAGTATTGGTGTTACAAAATCTGTAAAGCCAGTTATCAGCAATTCAGAGGCCCAAGGAAGAGGCAGACGGAGCCTTCCTATTTGATATTTGAGCAGCCCCTATTTTTAGCATGGGAATCCAACCAGGAGAACCAGCAGATACGATTGTGGGCTTGCGCTCTGGGAGATAACCGTGTCTGATTCCAGGATCTGCTGGCTGACTTGCTCGTTTGTGCGGTGAGTTTTCTTAGCACCTAGAGTTACTTGTTAGACGTAGCTGACTTTCTCATTCCAGGATTAGAAGGTTTACTCACAGTGGATGTCTGGGGCAGAGGGGATCTCGCTTTCTTAGGTTACCGAAGACATTGCTGTGTTTCTATCAGGAACTGATTTGCTCTCTGTTCAAACAAAAAAAGTGCCGCATTTTCTTAAGAGATCTTCCTTTCACATCATTTATATATTAATTGGTTGCTCAAGAGAGAATTGATCATTTTTACAGTTTCCTAACATTTAAACTAAAATTTGTGATCTTTCACAAAATTAATAAAAATAAAAAAAATTTTCATGATAACATGTAGTACATGTTTTGTATTACTTATGAAAGTCAAACAAAAATAATCATTTAAAAGAGTTAATATTTGCTCAATGTAGAAGATTTGGAAGATACTAAGAGGTAGAAAGAAGATAATCATAAGTAGTCCAGCCCCTCAAAAAACAGTTAATTTTGGAGTATTTTTGGGATAGTTTTCAGAGTTGACCATTTTTGAATAATTGGAAGTCATTAACAGATAATGCAGTCTACCACCTTATGCAGTTTTAATTTCTGCATAAGCTAAAGATTTTTTGAGAGCATTTGGAAACCTTGAAAACGTTTTAATTGCAAATTATTAAGTGATAGGTTTTATGTGAATGTTTTTGGTAGTTAAAGTAACAAGAGACCAAAGATTCATTCTGCTGAGGAATTCATTGGGTCGACTGGAGGTTTTCTGCCGCAGCAGTGGGCACAGCACCCTGGACTGAGTTAAACCCCAGGTCACAGCCACTCAGCTTCTCTTCAGATGCAGACAGAGTGACAGTGTCCCTTCCTCTCCCCTGGCTTCCATCAGAGGAAGGCCACAGGAGCAGTGAAGCTGTTAGGAGACACGGAGTTAGAAACAGGTCAGCAGCAAGACTACGAAAGATGCACCGCCTGCCCCCAGCAGAGGGCCGGTCCCTGTTTCTAGAGGCTGGTGTATCGCAGTGAGATCCCTCACAGCATCCTGCAGGGGGGGGAGGGGGGGGGCCTCTCGGGCCCAGCAGAGCCCACGTGGAACCGGAGAACCTGGGTGTTTGAGCGGAAGCGTCGTTTCCGCACGCGCCCTCTCCACGGCAAGCTTGTAGCACAGCCAGGAAGGCAGCTCCGTGAAATGTTTCCAGAAGCTCTGTTACCTGATTTGGGCGCTACATGCTCCGCACCCCAGCTCTTCAACTCCATAGCACAGTGGTTCTCAACCTTCCCAATGCCGCGACCCTTTAATACAGTTCCTCATGTTGTGATGACCCCCGATTTCATTGTTACAAGTTGAACATAATGAAAGCATAGTGATTCATCACAAAAACAATATGTAATTACATATGTGTTTTCCGATGGTCTTAGGCGACCCCTGTGAAAGGGTCGTTTGACCCCCAAAGAGTCGCGACCCACAGGTTGAGAACCGCTGCTGTAGCACGTCTTTGCCCGTTTCCCTCTCTGAGGCCCAGGCTAACCTGCTCCGGTTTCATCCTTCCCAGCTTAAGTGAGAGCTTTTTCATGGTGAAAGGAGCAGCCCTCTTCTTGCAACAGGGAAGCAGCCCCCAAGGCCAGCGAAGCCTGCAGCATCCCCACAAGCACGCGGGTGAGTCGATGCTCTTCCAGGGGAGCGCGTTTTCTCTGCCGCGGGAGGGCCCTCCCGTTCCTGGTGGTGAGCCACGCGTCGGTTTTCAAGGCCAGAGAAGTAGTGGGACCAGGGCTGTGACGACGGGTACAGGGAGAAGCCCTTCCGTGTAGGCCGGCCAGCCGTGGTTTCCAGGTGGTTCCGGGGGCAAGCAGCCCTTCTGAGCCTGGTGTCTACCTGACGAGTGAGGGTGTCAGGATGCCCTACTTACAGTTTATCAGGCAGCTGCATATTTTCAGTTGAAGTAGGGCTTTCTAAACAAACGCACCAGAGTATGCTATCATCAGGGGTTGTGCCCTTGAAACAGCTACCTTGGGGTGCTCTATATGTAGTCTGGGGATGCTGTCACTTCGCCGAGCATTTGGAAAACTCATTTGGAGATTTTCTTTCTCTCCATGCCCCCCCCCATATTCTCTATAATACCAAAAGAAAAAAAGTGTTTTTATATAAGACAGCGGAATGAAAAAATAGTGATTATTAAACTTTGCCAAGACAAAGTTCAGTGACACATCTGACATGAGCACCTGACAGCCTGCCTAGCCTTATTAAGCAACATGTGTCCAGACTGTGTATCCTTCCCCCCTTTCTTGCACCCCATAGCTGGGAAAAGAGGATTCCCAGGGGTAGAACGAGTGAGATCTTCCTCTATTTAGCCAGGGGCCAAGGGAACCCCAGCCCAACAGAGAGAGAGATTCGTAACTGGGCTTCAAGTAGAACGAAGCCACGACGCTGGTTGTCTCTAGGTGTTGATAACGTTTTTTTAATTCTAGTTCCCAAACTTTCTGTAACAGGATATATTACTTTCACACGGCAAAGAGCTCCAGCCAGCCTCGTTAGGGGAATGTCTTTACGAGCCCTTGGCACGCACTGAGATGGAAAGTCTTTATCTTTTAATGGCCGATTTGGTTGGAGGAAATAGGGAAGTGGTAAAGTAGGGATCAAACCGAGTATTAATTTAGGTTCAAACACAACCCAATAAGGAATGCCTATAAAGTAAATACACTGGTATTCTTTGGTGACTGACTCTGAAACCAAAGGCAGTTTGAAAAGAAGACTTGAGAAAACTTACTTGTGGGTAGTGCTCCCGGGACTTCTGGGACGGGCAGCACACGCTGAATGTCAGCTGGAAAGTCCTCCGACCTGAACAGCAGGTGAAAGCAACTAGCCATTGGGGCCAGTGTTCTCGTCACTGTGATCATTTTGTTTGTCAAGTCATCCAGCCTTGCTTTGGATCTGAGTGCTGGGGTTAGAATTTTGTATCTTACAATTGATAGCAAACACCAAGGCTCAATCAATATTTTCACATAATGATATTTGTCATCAAGATTTAAGTCTGTCTTAAGACAGGACAACAGTTGTTCTACACTGGGAGGCAGTCTGGTGTCGGGAAAGGACCTGGTTCTGATCCCAGTTCTGGAACGGACTGTGTTGTCGTGGTCAACCTCTGAGCCTCAGTTTCCTGATCTTTAAAATGGGCATCACATACCAGTACCTTGAAAATTATGCAATTTAAAATTTACACAGGTAACATATTTACCCCCTCGTAGGTGCTCAGTGTACGGTCGCTATAATGATTACTTACGGTGACTTCTGGTACAATAAAGCTATAAACAGAACCTTTATTTTTGAACTTGCTATTCGTTTTGCTCTGATAGGAATTGAACCATTGTTTATATCTTAACAATAATATGTATAGCAAAGCAAATGCGCAAGCTTTGCTCACTCTGTATAAAATGTGTCCTTCCTCTAAATCAAGCGGTGTTTTCCTACCGCGTGAACTTGATTTGTTGGTCCGGTAGGTGACTTGCCCCAACATCTGCAAGTGATGATCAACCTGCTGCGGTGTGAAGATAGAATCAAGCTGGTAAGAAGAGACGAGCGTGGCAAGTTTTAATTTTTAATTGTGAAATTTGGTAGGGAATTACTGATGAGCAGTGGGTGGGGTGCTGGGGGGAGGGGGAGTCTGTGAGTTTTTATATTTTAGCAAATTCTCCTAAATCGTTCACAAAAGCCAACGTGGAGTTTGCTCCTCGGTGCCCAGAGGGTCCGGCGAAAGGAAGTATGGGGGTCTCTGTCAGTCTATCAGTCTGTGCTGAGTTGGCATCTTCAGTGTCTGGATTTTATTATTCACCCACTTTATTATTAACACACTTGGGGAGCCCCCCCAGCGCGCCCCCGCCCCACGTCAGGCACTGTCCCTCGTGTTGGGGTATAAATGAGATGCGGCTCCTATGCCTGAGAATCTCACCTTAAAGCCTAAACTCATGGGGGAAAGGTAGGCAGCAGATGTCCTTGACCTTGGTTGGGCGGAGGAAGGGGGCACGACCCAGAAGGGCCGGCCGTGAAAGCCTCTCTGCCCTGCAGGCCGTGCGCCTGGAGAGCGCCTGGGCAGAGCGGGTCCGGTACATGGTGGTGGTGGACAGCAGCGGGCGCCAGGACACGGAGGAGAGCATCTTGCTGGGCGTCGACTTTTCCAGCAAGGAGAGGTGAGTCTGATGGGACAGGAGTTGCTGCTGGAAAAAGTTTTCTGTGGCCCTGTATCCTTGGGGGTTGATGGTGAGTAGCGGGGTGACCAGGAACAGCAGGGCACGGCATTTCCGCTCTTGTATGCAGCGCTCTGCCAGCTCCAGTCTCTGCTCTGAGCTCAGGGTCTCCTGAGAGGAAAGAAAGCGACACTGTGCTTGGAGGTCTGACACTGGGTGCCATCAGGGTGCTGGAGACGAGGGCACTTAGCCTGGAGGGCTTCCTGAAGGAGGTGACGGCGGTGGTGAACACCCAGTCAGTGCAGGAGCCAGCCCAGTGAGGAGGGAGGACGCCTCCCAGGCAGCCGGACCTGCGTGAGAATCATGTGCTCTATAGGCAGCGTGTCGAGGGCCTTATCCAGTGTTGCTGTCCCACCGATTTCCAAACTGGGAGACGGTCCTGGGTCAGAGGCTCAGAGAGGTTTGGAATTTCCCAATAACTAGAGGCCAAGTTCGTTGTATCATAGGCCCTATTATTTGTGTGAAATGAAGGCGAATGGCTCTTCTTACATCCAGGATAAGTTAATACATGTGAGATCATTGCAAAGCCTGGATTTGTTAAAACTAGATGAAATGGGCTCCCCTTAGTCATCATTCATTAATCTACTCATTCATTAAGCAAACAATTTGCATTCTCCTGTGTATGAGGCAACAGGCAAGGCCCAGGTAAACAAACAGCAGCAGTACACACAGTTCTTGACCTCAGAGAGCCTGTGAGCTCAGTGAAGAAGAGCCGTCATCCGATGCTGGGGTGGTGGCTCATGGATGCAGAGACATGCGGGAGGTCGTGGAGCACAGGAGAGGGGTGGGTGTAGAGGGGCCATGCCAAAGGCCTCTGGAACACACAGTCGCTAAGCCAGGTCTCAAAGGATGAGCGGGCATTTGGGCAAGTTCAGGGGAAGGGACGTGTCCATCTGGGGCTTTGAGGGCTCCCCTCCTTGCCTCGCCCCAGCACTGTCACAGCCGAGAAGTTCCGGGAGCTGTGAGTCTCAGCACAAGTTTTACTTTGCCCCTCTGCAAAGGAAGTGTAATTAGCCCATCGAGGACGGGGAGGACTGCAGGGTGGGACGAGAATCGGCCTAACACGAAAGGCTGGAAGCATCCGGCAGGGGCAGGGTCGCAGCTGCTCGGAGGGAGAGCTGCCCTGTGAGCCCAGGGCTCCTGTCTGCACAGTCGCGCTCGTCATATTACTCCCTGGGCGGGCTGCTAAGTGGCAGCAGAGATGTGAGCCGGAGATCCCTGGAGCTTGTGGAGCTGGTCTTGGCACGGTCACAGCGGCTCCTCACAGCCGACTCCTTCAGATTCCTGAGGAATGTTCCTGAGAATCCGAGGAGCCCCCGTGATAAGCCCTTTCCTTCCCTCGGCGTGCTCCAGCGGCGCCAGCCTCTCAAGTATCAGTTCACCGTGAGGATGGGCAAAACAAAAGCAGATTAAGCTGGTTCTGGAACAGCAGCTGCACGAAAGGTAGAGAAACAGAGGCCTGGCACTGAACTCCGGTAATGGTGTTGGCACGCTGCCCTCCCCCCTCACCCCAGGACCGGAGCCTGGGTTGGCTGCCTCCACTCGTCTGTGTCCCCCAGAGCGCGCATGGCTTCGCGCCAGGAGTGCGCCAGCCATCGGCGGCTTCACCCCTGCTGCAGGGAGGTCGTGTGGCCAGCTGGTTGCTCCTTTTCCCCTGAGAGCTGCAGTTGAGACCTGGTGTTTATGAAGCTGCAACCACATCAAACCGTGGGGTCAGAGTACCCTGTGACTGTCTCCAAGCTGGGGTCACCAGCAACTCCCTCTGGTGGGGCCATCGCAGCCCCGTGTCTTCTAGAAGCAGCGGTGAGCAGTCCCCACACACAGCCTACGAGCAGCTCCCAGGCCCACACCCAGGAGCTGGACCCAGCCAGGGCAGGGGCTGGGTGAAGACACAGGGAAGTAGCGTGTAAGCAGGTCACAGGTAAATGTGACTCTAACCCTGGACGTCTTCCTTTCCCCCCACGTAGTAAAAGCTGCACCATTGGGATGGTTCTCCGACTGTGGAGCGACACAAAAATCCACCTCGATGGCGACGGGTAAGCAGTTCTCTTGAAAAGATTCCTTTAATCACTGTAAACTCTGAAACACGAGTTGGTGTGGGCATCGTTGGGTAATCATTAGCAAAAGAGCTATATGTATGACGTGTCTGTTGCATCAAGAGAAGTACTATTGCCTCCCCGCTCCCCCGCCCCAATAAGACACATGGGGAAAGGGACGTCCTGGTCATTGTGTGGGGAGTTTGGGTCATGAAGGAGCCACAGAAGCACGTTACAGGAGATAGCTGTGTGATGGTCAAGAGCAGCAGTAAGCGGACATTCATTCATTTACCTGGCTTTGGTCAGTGAATACCCACACTGCCCTCCATTTGGGGCTGGTCCCTGGAAGCTCACAGAGAAATGTAACACAGCAGGAGCCCACCGTTTTGGGGGTGCAGAGGAGGAATCGCTTAGTTCGTTCTGGGCGGGAAGATTTGAGAAAGGGCAACGGGCTCTACATATGTGTGCCCCCAGGAGAACACATGGGCTCTGCAAGGGGCGGAAGGAGCAGGATGGGACCTTGATCCCAGCAGTAAAGGTTATGCCGCCTCAGATGGAACGGGGAGAAACAAACATGTGATTTCTTGAAGACATAGGATTATAGTAATGTTTTCCCGTTTTAAATTTTGTCTTCCACTCATATATTCCCGCACAATTCCAAAAAAAAATATTGATGGGACATAGCAGGTGGGTTGGGCCATTGCAAAGCATGAACGAGACCGGGTCGAATGCTGTCACGGCCTCGCACCCTGCGCTGGGGTTTCCGTTTCGGTAGACCTCGCGTTGCGGGGTTGAGAACGCATCTTCCGGGATGGAGAGCCCATCTTCGCCCTCGTCTGATGCAGCCGGCCTGTGGTCCCACCAGACAGCATGAGGCAGGGTGTCCCCGGGGGGCCTGCCCCCCCACCTCGCCGAGATGTGGTCAGAGGGGCTGGCTTCTCACCGCGCTCTCTTTTTGTTTTTCACTCAGTGGCTTCAGCGTTAGCACAGCAGGAAGGATGCACGTCTTCAAGCCCGTATCTGTCCAGGCCATGTGGTGAGTGTGGTTTTAGGGACTTTCAGCTCCTTAGAAATAGCTTCCCAGCTGACAGCAGGACTAGAAAACCCCCTGCTAGGGATTTTAGGTACATTTGTTTTGTACATAGGACAGGCTTTACATGACAAAACTGACCACTTTACCCATTTTTAAGTGTGTGATTCGGCGGCATTAAGTGCGTTCACAGTGTTGTACAGCCATTACCACCATCCATCTCCAGAACTTCTCTGTCATCCCAAACAGAAACTCTGTACCCATTAGCCACAAACTCCCCGCCCCGCTTCCTCCAGCCCCTGGTCACCTGTGTTCCCCTCCGCCTCTGCCTGTTCGGGTCCCCCGTGTAAGTGGAATCCTTGGTCCCTGCCTCCGGCATCTTGCGCTTAGCATCATGCTTTCTGGGTGCACCCATGCTGTAGCATGTGTTGGAATTTCCTTCCTTTTCATGGCTGAATACTACTCCGTGAGAGGGCTCTACCGCATTTTTTATCCGCTCGTCTGTGGACGGACTTTTGAGTTGTTGCCACCTTTTGGCTATTGTGAGTAGAGCTGCTGTGAATATTGGTGAGCAAAGCATCAGTTTGTGGTGCCTGCTTTCATTTCTTTTAGTTGTGTACGTAGAAGTGGACTTTCTAGATCACATGATGATTTTATGGTTAATTTTTTGAGGAACCACCAAACTGTTTTCCACAGCAGCGGCACCATTTGACAGTCCCACCAGCAGTGCACACGGATTTCACTTCCTCCACATCCTAGTTAACACTTGTTCTTTTCTGGTGTGTGTGTTTTTTTTGTTTGTTTTTTTTTATACTAATGGATGTGAAGCGGTTCCTCATTATGGTTTGGTTGCATTTCCCTAATTAAGTAATGTTGAGCGTCATTTGATGTGCTTATTGGCCATTTGTACATCTTCTTTGGAAAAATGTCTAGTTTGTCCTTGGCGACTTTTTAATTTGGTCGATATCTGTTGCGGAAGGTGTATTGTTTTTGCATATGTACGTTCAGTCCCTCCTGACAGGTGTCATTCCAGCATGAATTCACCTGCCCATTGTACCTGGCACACAGTAGGCATTCAGATTGTACCACGAAGGGAGGACACTCTGCTAGGCACTGAGCATCTTGGGAGGCGTGAAATGGACGTAATTCCTCTCCGCGTGGAGTTTAAAGTCTGTGGAGGGCGGTGGCCATAAACACAAAACAAAGCCATGTGTTACACCGAGGGGAGCTGGGAGGGCGTCCTCACGGGGTGCTGGGCTGGGGGATGCCTTCTACAGCGTGCAGGGGCCTGGGTAGGGGCAGGGCCTCCCAAACATTCTGCTTTAAGGATGAGGTCCCCGTGGGTCAGGGCTTCGTTGAGCAAAATGACTCATGTCCAGAGCTTCCCTGAACCCGGGACACATCCTAGAGCCTTCCTCGTCCCTAGAGGGTTGCACCACCCACACATGCAGCAAACTCCGCGGCCAGTCTCGAATAATCTGGAAAAGGCGCAGGAGAAAGCTGGTGGCGCCTGCGAGAAGACGTCTGCCCAGTCTTCTGTCCGGGACAGCGAGAGCTTTGCAGGAGTCTGCCATGGGCTTCGCTGCTGTCTCTCCTGCTGCTCGCTCTGCAGGCTGTTCAGGATCATTTGGGGGGAAGTCGTGAGACCATAATTCCCTAGGTGGCCCAGATGTTCTCTGGGTCCCAGGGTGATTTTTTTTATCCCTTTTCTACAGGCGAGTAAAAAAATAGGCCCACGTGCTTTTCCAAAACTCAGAACCAGAGCTAGATTTCGTAAATACCCAGCCCAAGTTTGTTCCCTCAACCAGCCTGCAGCCGTGTACCATCGGGAAAGGCACGCGGCCGCCATGGCTTTTACCCCATGTTGAGCGTTCTCTGTTGGCTCTCCCTCCACCCAGGGCTGCACTCTTCCACCCTCCCCCACACCTAGCGCACCCATTCGCTGAGAAATGTACCACTATCCTTTTGTTAAAAGAAGTAATACAAGAATGACTAAATGGACCATTATAAACATACATTTTTAATACTGTTCCTCCTGTCCCAGCGCCTTCCCAAACCTCTTCTTCAGTTGGATTCTGCATTAAAATGACTTTCTAGAACTCCTTTCCTTGGGAGGTCTAAGCTGTTAAAGCATTGATGGGAGGGGTTAGAAGCTATGAGAAAGCAGTAAAATGTCTCTGCTGCATAGTAATGAGTTCCTTTCCAACAGCAAGGCTAATTGTCGCTCCTGCGCTTAAGATGCCCACAGCCTCTGAGTCACCTCAGTCCTTGGGAGTTCATCCGTGGACTGTAAAGTGGTCTGTGAACCAGCGGGTGGGGAGAGTTAGGACATTTTTGTTTCCTTGCTGGGAAAGGTGAAGGATGTTCTCTCTGCTCTCGGGTCAGTGCCTGTGTCACGGAGACTAGCCATGTGGCCTGGCAGGCCGGGAGCCCCAGGAGCCAGTCCTGTATGACCTGCCCTTCCCCGCCCCGTTTAAAACCCTTTGCTGAGGGCAACACCCAGCTCGCCTGTGCCTCCCGGGCCTGACCCTCTGCCCTCCTCACCCCAGGTCCGCCCTGCAGGTCCTTCACAAGGCCTGCGAAGTGGCACGAAGGCACAACTACTTCCCCGGGGGTGTGGCTCTCCTCTGGGCCACCTACTACGAGAGCTGCATCGGCTCCGAGCAGAGCTGCATCAACGAGTGGAACGCCATGCAGGACCTGGAGTCCACGCGGCCCGACTCCCCGGCCCTGTTTGTCGACAAGTGAGTTCGCTGCCTCCTCACCCCGCCCACCCCGCCCTGTGCCTGACTCTGTCCCCACGATGTCACACCTGCTGTGGTGGCACCTCCTCTCCCAGAGCCAGCCTCTCATGCAGCGGTCCCTGACGGGTGGCCTGTGGGTGGCCTATGGAAGGGCTGCAACCACACCTCACTTTCGAAATTATAGACAAACGTGGATGTGAACGCATCTCTTTGCGTCCCAGCCCCCATGTGCCCTGTTGCTCTGTGGCACTGCAGGCCCCTGTGGGAGGGAGCTCTGGACACGCGCAGGACTCTCTCCCTCTCTCCCACCTGCAGAGGACACACACACCAAGACGTTACCTCCGTGGTCCCAAGCCACATTCTGGTTAGCCCAGGAGCGCCGGGGTCTCTGTGAACTCTGACCTCAGGCTTCCTGTATAAAGCTCTGCACTTTCCTACTTTCCCTCCAGGCCAACGGAAGGGGCCAGGACCGAGCGCCTCATCAAAGCCAAGCTCCGCAGCATCATGATGAGCCAGGACCTAGAGAACGTGACCTCCAAAGAGGTAAGAGAGTTCTTCTGGGCGGGCCCGAGGGCACGGGGCCTCCTTGGTCCTGCTGCCCAGACCCGGCCTTCTTTTCGGAGGCTCCCGGAGGCTTTTTCCTGCAGGGCTCAGCGAAAAGAGCGCAGCCTCTGAGCCAGACTCTCGTTCGAACCGAGCCCTGCCACGGGCCCGCTGTGAGGCTTGGGCAAGTTTCCTGGGCTCCCTGACCCTGTAAGGCCTTTAGTGAGACTCCCACGAGACCCGCAGATTGCACCGGGAAGCAGTCCTGTGAGCGCCCTCTCTGCCCCACATCGCCTCTCCAGGGAGTGGCTAACCCTGGACTGCTTTCCTTCTGCCTTTGCTGTGTCTCTGGGTCACTTTTTCCCCCAGTCACTTATGGGTTCAAGGAATGCAATGCATGGTAATAACAGCTTAACCAAGGTAGATCTAAGAGGTTGAAATGGCTATTTTGAAAAGTTACATACAACCCTTTTATTTATTAATAATACACAACATCATATTGTGATACCTTCCAAAGCAAGATGAAACTGATTTGGGGTTTGCACTGTGAAGTGTTTGATATTTAATTGTAAAGATATAAGTGCTTTCAACTGAGAAACAATCCCCCGGGAGTCAGATTCCCTGTGTGAAATAATGAACTACCCCCGTGTCAGGCTTACTGTGAGGCAGAGCAGCCTGCATTCCCACCACTCACGCCTGTGCTCCACTCGGCACAAAAAATGCAAAAAAAAAAACACCTTTTTGGCAACCAGCCTCAGCTTGCATTGTGACTCTACTTCTCGGGAGGGTGACAACTGTTTTCTTCAACAAATCACTCTTCCTAATGTTTCCCACTCCACAGATCCGGAACGAATTGGAGAAACAGATGAACTGTAACTTGAAAGAATTCAAGGAATTCATAGACAACGAGATGCTCCTTATCCTGGGACAGATGGACAAGCCCTCCCTCATCTTCGATCACCTTTACCTCGTAAGAGGCTCAGCCCACGCCAGGGTCTGGCTTGGGGATCATAAATCGGACCTTGGTTGTTTAGAGCAGGTCAGAGAGGGGGAAACTCGAGTTACTGAAGCTTCGATCCTGACTTTGGCGGGAACGCCCCCCACCCCCCCACCCCCCGCCTCTGGCTGCAGCCTCGTGGTTTGCTCTCCAGCCCGATGCTTGTGATGTTGCCACAGCTGGGCTGGGGGAGGGGGGGTGTTTGATAGTTAACTGGCAACCGTTTTCAGACTCTTGCCATCCCTTCTGCAGGGGCTAGCACAGGCCCCATCCAGATACCTCCGAATAGGCTGCAGACTAAAACCCCCAGTGACTAAAGGGAACGTGCTCACCAAACCCCAGAATTATGCCTGGGAATCCCGAGACGTGAGAAACAGCCCGGACGGCAGACCGGACAGACACCTGGAGCGCAGCTTCCCCTCTGCGTGGCCAGGCAGCCGTGGCTCTCCGCAGAGCCCAGTGGTGCAGCCTCCATCGCCCGCTCCGATTTTCTTAAAGCTGTAAATCTCCATAGAAGGCAACTGGCAAGTTTTCAAAGTCAGGGACTGTAGGAGAGGGCACGTTACTAAAATTAGAGGCAGCACAGCGTAGTAACGAAAGCCCGCCCCTCCGGGCCCAGCTCCCACTCCCCGGCCTGATGGTCGTCCACATGCGTGGGTCGTGAGAGATGGCTACTGGGTTAAATTACATACTTACTGTACTCAGATGTCTGCATACGTATTTCATGCTAAGATGATTATGAATGTGTGGGTTTGAAGCCCGGATCTAGATGCAAGCTATGCGGCAGCCCTGGCCTCTGGTCTCCGGAGAAGGTGACGCTTCTCCCTGGTGGAGACAGCACGAGGCGCCGCCGGCCCGTCTGCCCACTAGGTGGCGGTCACGGCAAGAGGACGCTCGCAGCCTTAGCGAAGCGCTAGTTCCTTTTCCGTGTGGTTGGTGCTCTATGTCACTTTTTCCATGAGAGATACCAAAGGAATTTCTGTGTTTGAGCCTCTCCCTCCAGCACGGAAATCCAACTGGCACCCACACGTGGCCAGTCCCCTCAGGGCCCTGATGCCCCTGCCTCTGCGGGGTCTGCCCTCTGGGAAGGGCAGTTCATGGGGGGACCACGCAAGGGTCGTTGCTCTTTGTGACTCTATGTTGTTTGCGTTTCTGAGGAGCAAAGTGGTGGTTTTTCCTTTGTGTTCTTTGCATGCTCAGAAATGGAGGGTTGGTGTTGTTTTTAAATATCGTTTTTTAAGTATTAAATTAAAATGTTACAGAAAGTTGGGAATATAAGTGAGTCTGAAGAAGAAAATTAAAGGCATTCCTAATTTCACAATCTAGAGGTCGTCACACTTAGCATTTTGGTATATTTATTTTTCTGTCTCCTGTGTTTTCTTCTTGTGTGTGTAACTTTTTTAAAAAGGAAAAGAAAAGGGAAGAATCGTACTGTTTATGTTTACGTAGATTTGTGTCCTTTAAATTTTTGTTGTCGTTATGTGGTGTTTCCCCGTGTTGTGAAATACCCTCCAAAAGTATGAGTTGTCTTCATGGCTCCGTCATGTGGATCCACCATCATTTGTTTTACTAATTTCTCCCTGTTGGACCTTGGGGTTGTTTACCCTATTTTGTTATTGTAAATAACCTTAAGTATCTTTGTACATAAATCTCTGTGCAAACTCTGGGTATTTCATTGGGGTAAGGTTTTTTTGTAAGTGGAATTTCTGGGTCAGAATATTAATATTACCGAAAGACCTCCCGGAAAAGGTAGGCTGATTTCTGCTGTAATGAGAGGTCTGTGGAAGTGCCCCCTCCTGAGTCAGAGGTTGGAGGTCACTGCCTCCCATGAGAGGACCCTGCTGGGGTCTCAGGAAAGGAAGTGGTGAGAGGGGAACAGGTTTTCCTGCGCTTGCCCTTCCCCTGTTGTGCTGTGGATGCCTCGGGAACCTGCCTTGATACCTCTGTTCTCTGAGGCCAGGGGCCATGTACTCACCATCACCATGAGGGCTGTAAGCAGTCTGAGGCTGACGTGTGACACTCACGGGGGTTTAACCGTGTGCTCTGTCCCCCAGGGCTCTGAATGGAATGCATCCAATCTGGAGGAGCTGCAGGGCTCAGGGTGAGTCTGCTCCCCTTGTCTTCCCCTGTCCCTCTAGGCAGCCTAGGAACCTGGGCTCTGCCCCCGAGGTCAGGGCCAGCCCTGTGCTGCCTGCCTGTGCCTGTAATTGCCTGCACCCCTGCAGCCAGGCTGACCTGCATAGCTACACAGATGGGCTTCAGAATGCCACCTCCTGAATAATTCATGGGTTTAGATTTTCCTGGGGTTTGTGTGATGGTGTGTGTGTCCCCCAGAGAATGATCCTAAATCACAGTCCAGTGGGATAGCCGGCCTGGATGCTGTGCTGGTAGGTAACGAGCCCCTTCCCACCGGCCCACTGCCCTGCAGAGCTGCCCAGAGTCCCGGTGTGGACATGCCTAGCTGTCAGCCAGTCGGCACCTCTGACCCCTGAACCACCACTGCTGGTTCTATCTTTGGGCCTGGAGGGAACCTTGAGCTAAATACTCAGCATTGGGCAGGAACACATGCCTGCCTTGGTCTGGGAAAAAAAAAAACACACAACACAGCCACAAAATCACCGTCCTGTGGGCCTGACATGATGACATCCTTGAATTACTGCACTTAAAAGTCAAGACTAAACAAATCTTAAAATATATCTTTAGAACTGCCGGTTAAGATGTGTTCTCTCAACAGAAAGTATTCTTAAAATGGAGGGTGATACTGGCTATGCTTTCTGTTTTCCTTGGAAGAACTAAATTATTTTAAAGGTATTTTTTTAAAGCATTTGTTAAGTATTCACTTATAAAATTTACTTGAGGTATTTTCAACCTGAAATTGCTTTTGCCTTCCAGGAATATAAGTGTTCAGTTTAGAGACCTACAAAACCTCATTAGCAGACCTTCTCAGCTATTTATTTATTTATTTATGGCCTGCCTTGTTTTAAAAAGGATGTAAAATAGTTCCCAAGGACATAAGTAATGGACAAGTGTATTCTGCTTTTTAACTATTTAAAAGTGGAGGCTTTGTTTTTTCTTAAAGCCTCTGTATGCTCGTAATAGTTATGAATTTTGAGACTTGGAGTTTACTAGGTGTACTGGTTAATAATGCAGATTTTTTTCAATAGATGGAGTTACACATATGTTGATATATATGCAACTTGATATGTATGCTATTTTGTTGTATTGACAACAAGCTTCAAAACTTCATATGTCAAATTTTCTGAAGGTGTTAACATCATAGATATTTTTACACTTAAAAATGTCCAATTTTGTG